GGGCTGCATTCCTGGCATAGCTCTCCCACGCGGCGCGGCTCACCTGGGGGTCCCCGGAGCCTGGGGAGCGGGCGGAGGTTGCGAGCTGGCGGCTCCGCTCCTCCGCCCCGGCCCAGCCTCCCGACTCGCTCCACCGCCCCGGACCGAGGCTGTTCCCGGAATCCTCGCCGCCGCGCCGGCCTGGGCTGCTTCCTCGGCCCCGAGCAGCGCGGGCTCTCGAGGGCGCGTGACAGAGCCTCCCGGCCACCCAGTGCTGCCAACCTGCGGGACCGGGGGCACAGAGAACGTTTGGCGCCAGCATCCGGAAGCCCGTGGTCTCTGATCCCTCCCGCTCCCGCGACAGCCGCCCCACCCCCCCCCCAAAGAGGGGCGGAGCCTCCTCCTAGCCCCTCTGGGACGAGCTACTTTTAGGCCTGTTACGGAAGCGGGAAGGAGGGAATGCCACGTTTAATCCGTTAGGGAAATCCGGGATCCTAGTGAGTACAGCTGCCGGCCTGCTGAAAGCTGGGAGCAGCTGTAGCCTCCTGGGCAGACACCCCTGCCCCACCCGTCCTAAACTAAAGGGACCGTCTTGGTTTCTGATCCGAACCCATACTGGTCCTTTGAGTAAATCCCAGGTCTGTTCAGATGGCAACCATTTTCCCCCCAACTCCCAACCTTCTGGCCAGCCTTGTGGATCCAGCTGGGAAACCCAGAACCAAAGAACTCTTTCTTTCTGGATAACAGTCTCTGACCCCTTCCTATAACCATCTTGTTGCTTTACTGAGACTCAGATTTCTGGGAATTCTTTTTTTCCTTAAGCCTTCCTCCCACCCCAGCCTCAATCTGCCAAGCTGTGTCACGGGGTATTCAAAACAAAATTTCATGGGAACAAGTGTTGGCAAGAATGTGAAGAAATTGGAACCGTTATGCGCTGCTGTGAGAATGTAAAACGGTACAGCCACTGTGGAAATGAGAATAGTGGCTCCTCAAAAAATTAAACGTGGAATTACCATATGATCCAGCAATTCCACTTCTGGGTATATACACAAAAGAATTAAAAGCAGAGATTCAAACAGGTATTTGTACACCCCGTTCATAACAGCATTATTCACGATAGCCAAAAGTTGGAAACAACCCGAGAGTCGCTTGACAGATGAATGAATAAACAAAATGTTATACATATATTATATACATACGTATATATTTCAGCCCTTTAAAGGGAATGAAATTCTGACACGTGCTACAATATGAATCAACCTTGAAAATGTTATGCTAAATGAAATAAGCCAGACACAAAAGGACATATATGATTCCACTTCTACAACGTACCTAGTATAGTCAGGTTCATAGAAACAGAAAGTAGAATGGTGGTTGACAGGGCTTGGGGGAGGAGGGAATGGAAATTACTGTCTAATGGGTACAGATTTTCAGTCAGGGGTAATGAAAAACGTCTAGAGGCAGATGGTGGTGCTGGTTGCACAACAATGTGAATGTACTCAATGCCACTGAATGGTACACTTGAAAATGGTTAAAATTGTAAAGTTTACGGAATGTATATTTTACCACAATTTTTTAAATGTAAAAAAAAAAAAAAAAAAAGGATGGACAGGGGCCAGGCCCAAGTAGGGATGACTGTCAGCCACCAGTTTTTGATGGGGAGTCTTGTTCATCCTCTGCTCTCCTGGTTGGGGCACCACTTTCCCTCCAGGACTTCCTGCAGGAGGGCAGAGAAGATTCCAGGCTGTGGAGTCAAAGATGCATTTAAATTCCACCTTCCCCGGCGGTGTAACCCTGGGAAGTCACTTACCCTCTCTGTAAAATGGGGAAAATAAACTCTACCTAGCAGGTAATTATGAGAACCAACTTAGTTAAAACATCTCAGCCCAGAGCCTGGCAGTCACGGGTGTGTCCTCCCAAGTTCAGTCAAGTGTCAGGGTTGGGAGCTTTTGCTTCTCAACTCGCTTCCCTGAAGTATAAAAAAAGTAGCTCTGTGCATGTGTGTGTGTGTGTGTGTGTGTGTGTGTGTGTGCGCACGCACGCGTGCATGTGTCATTCCCTCCAGCCTCAATTTCCCCATGTGGAAATGGGTGCCATCTTTTGCAGGGCTGTTGTGAGCAAGTGAACTTGACATGCACCCAGATCCACCTTTTCGGTAACGCCAAAAGCAAAAGTATTTAGATTCCTTCTTCAGCTAGCTGACCAAGACCTCGCGTGCGTGGAACCCACACACCCTCCCTTTACTGGGCCACAGTTTGACATTCAATACAGCCAAGAGTTACTGAGTGCCTACTACGTGCCAGGCTCTGTTCTAAGACCCGAGGAAACCAAGAGTTTATAGAGGACTAGATCACTTAGCACTAGGAAGCTGTCACCTTCTCCAGTGCCACCTGTGCCACAACACACAAGATTTGGTGGCACGAGTGGGAACAGGTGTATCATCCAAGACACAGGAACAAGCCAAAGGAGACTGGCCCTAGTGGGCTACTCCCGGGGACATTCCTGTCACGCTGAGCAGCCGAGCCGTAACTATTGGACGGACAGAAGAGTGGGTTCTCGATATCTGTGGTTTCCATTTTGCCCTGTAGCCCCTCACCTCTTTCTCAGGCAAGTGCCAGACACCAGCTCTCTGACCAGCATAGACACCATCACAACTGGTCTCCTTCTTACACTTAGGGATGTGTCAGGAAACAGTGGGATATGTCTGCTAAATGAAGGTCTACTTTACACTCTAGGGAGCCCATAGTAGTAGTGCCCTCTGCTGTCAACTGCTGGCATCACACCTTGGAAGTCAGCTCCGGTTCCAGATCCCACTTTCCTAAAGGGCATATGAGGTATAGAGGACAGGTCTCTCAGTGCTGGGATGCTGGCCACTAATGGTCCTGGAGGTGATTTTACGTCAAATGTGTATTGTTGAGTTTTCACAGTATTGATGTATAGATAGACAGACAGGCGTATAGGTAGAAGGGCATTTTACATAAAAACCTGGTTTGCTGGTTTCTTCTTGAAAAATCTGAGAATCTAGCAACAAAAGGCCCACACTCTCACATGTCAAGAATCAGCTGGAACTGAGGGGGAACCTCTTCCCTAGGCAGAGCTTACACTCTAACCCATTCTCTGAAAAAGATCACTTTGAAGGACGTCTGTGCACTTATAAAAAGACCTCTTTCCTCCTCTTTTGCAAAATGAGAATGCAGGGTCATTTTAACCAGGACCCATGCTCTGAATCTTCAAACAAACACTAGGTGGGGAGGGCTGAGACAGACTGCACAAACTGCGACAAAACAGTAAACTGTTTGTGTCCTTGATATACAAAGACTAGTTAAGTCACTAAGAAATAGAAAAACAATCCCATAGAAAAGTGAACAAAAGATTAGGCAAGTCACAGAATAAAAAAATATACCAATTGAACATGTGAAACACTCAACCTCACCAAAAGTAACATAACAATTAGAGACATTTTTAAACAATAATATTGGCTAAAATTAAGTAGTGTTTTGGTATTGGTGAAGGATGGGAAAATGAGCAATTTCAAACAGGCTTTTTGAAAACAATTCTGCAGCACATATCACAATTTAAAGTCCCCAAAATGTTGTAATCAGGACTACAGTATTTCTTGTATGATTAAAATTAGAATCAATTTAAATGTTCACCAATTGGGGTTTAAGTAAATAGATTATGATATATCCTACAATGAAACACTCTGCAACCCTTATGAAGAATATATCTTGGTATGTTAATGAAAAAAAGGTGTCCAAGACAAATGTATTGTTAAATTAAAAACAACTGACATAATAATATGTATTATATGAATCCATTTATGTTTTTTTAAACTATACATATGAGAAATTCAGGGGCGATATTCAAAATATTTAACCACTAGGCTGACACAGGCACTAGCACGCTGGGGCTGGTCTTCACGCTTTAACATATTCTTTTTTTTTTTTGGCTGTGCAGCATGCAGGATCTTGCCCAGCCAGGGATTGAACCCGTGCCCCCTGCATTGGGAGTGTGGAGTTGTAACCACTGGACTGCCAGGGAAGTCCCCATCTTTACCCTTTAGTTGCTGCATTATGGGGGCCCTGGTGGGGAAGAGCTAGGGCAGATGAGGCGATAGTGGTGGATACTTGGAAGTCTATGGCCAAGACTTTTTACAAATAGCGTGGATGTATATGCAGAGAAAAGTGAGACATACCAAACTTGACAGTGGTACGAGAGACTTTCACCTCTTCCTCTGTACAATCTTACTGTTTGAAATTCTAAGAACGAGTGTCGGATTTGGAAAAAAATTAACATGGGGGAAACACCAGCATGGCCTATTTTTCAAGATGTATCATGATGTAAACGTGTGGCTTAGATGCACCGAAGGCCAGAAGGAATTCAGGATCATCTGGAATCCC